AGGGGTGCAGTGGAACCCGGTGCCCCAGCTGACCAAGGTCTAGAAATGACATCTCGCAGCTGTTTTCCTGCCAGCCCGCATCCTGGAAAGGGGTCTCGTGGCACACAGGAGTTCACATCCTCCCCTCATGAAAGGAGAACTTGGAGTTCATTATCTCCTGTTAGTAAAGCAGCAGCCCAGAAAGCACAGAATTGAGAAATAAAAGAGAAGTGTGTGCCTACACGGAGGGAAGTGAAAGTGGGGTGCTGTCTCATGCAGAGACCCTGGAGCCTGTCAGCAGCCCTGCTGGTTGTTTTCGCCACCTGCCTTTGTCCAGGGTGACGGAGGGGGCGTTGTTGGGAGGAGCGCGTGTTGGGTGTGGGAGTGGCTGATGGAGCGGGCGTTGTCGTGGAGAGGAGCCCCTGTTGGGTGTGGGAGTGGGTGATGGAGGGGGCGTTGTTGGGAGGAGCGCCTGGTGGGTGTGGGATTGGGTGACGGAGGGGGCGTTGTTGTGGAGAGGAGCGCCTGTTGGGTGTGGGAGTGGGTGATGGAGGGGGCGTTGTTGTGGAGAGGAGCGCCTGGTGGGTGTGGGAGTGGGTGATGGAGGGGGCGTTGTTGGGAGGAGCCCCTGTTGGGTGTGGGAGTGGGTGATGGAGGGGGCGTTGTTGGGAGGAGCGCCTGTTGGGTGTGGGATTGGGTGACGGAGGGGGCGTTGTTGTGGAGAGGCGCACCTGTTGGGTGTGGGAGTAGGTGATGGAGAGGGCATTGTGGAGAGGAGCGCCTGTTGGGTGTAGGCATGAAGCGTTCGCTGCTCGCAGGACCTCTGTGTGGCTTCATGCTTTGTGGGTTCTCAGCAGTCTTGGGACCCTCAAGTGGAAGCTTTTTGGATGTTAAATGCTGGGCTTAATTGAAGTGAAAAGCTTGTTTTACCCGGCGTGGTGGCTCACACCTAAAATCCCAGCACTCTGGGAGGCGGAGGCGGGCTGATCGCTTGAGTCCAGGAGTTTGAGACCAGCCTGGGCAACAGAGGCAGATTCTGTCTCAAAAAAGAAAAACCAACTTGTTTTAATTTAGACTTTTTTGGCTTTGGGGAGTTGAGAGCCATTGGGATCTGGGAGCTGCCTGTGTTCACAGCCACCACAGAAACCGAAGAAATCTTGGTTTAAAAAATTCAAGTTGCCATGGAAACACTACTATCTTTGACTTCGCTTATTATTTAAAATAATATCTCTGCAGCGCAAAGACCCCAAGGATACCTGAGGACACTCCTGTCTGTCTATGAGACACACTTACCTCACGGTGTGGAGGCCGTGTGGGTCACTGACACGCATGGCCACATGAGACACCCACATGCCTACTCACGAGTCACAGGAAAGGGGGAGATTATTCGGAAAGTCACTGGGGCCAGGTGCAGTGGCTCATGCCTGTAATCCCAGCACTTTGGGAGGCTGAGGCAGTCAGATCCCTTGAGGCCAGGAGTTCAAGCCCCGCCTATACTAAAAAAGTAAGAATTAGCTGCACGTGGTGGCACAGGCCTGTAATCCCAGCTCCTCAGGAGGCTGAGGCATGATAAGTTGGAAGTTTCAGTGAGCCCTGATTGCGCCACTGCATTCCAGCATGGGCCACAGAGCGAGACTCCCGTCTCAAGAAAGCGACTAGGGAGGAAGCCTCACTGATGGCAAGGAAGACACTAGAAATGCTCTGAGGAGTCATCAGAACAAATGTCCTTTGATCAGTTGGGTGGCTCAGGGTGTTCAATAACACCGCCAACTATTTTTCCTAGAAGAAATGAAACTGAAGTAATAGGAACATAATCTTTTTTTTATATAAATTAAGGGTACGTTGTGTAGAAAGTCTTCCCGCGTTCGTGACCCACTGCTGTGCGTCTTCCTTGGCATTTGCGTGTGGTGGCAGGCGTGTGCCTGCAGGTGTAGGTTGCTGAGAGGGTCGGATGCTTACAGTCCCCAGTCACCCGCAGGTGCTTTTTCCCCTCTTAACACTGGACTTGGGACATTTTCACTTTGTTAGTACAATAGGATTCACTCCAGTTAGCTGCTTTTTTATTTTATCTTATTTATTTTTAATTTTGAGATGGAGTTTCACTCTTGTTGCCCAGGCTGGAGTGCAATGGTGAGATCTGAGCTCACTGCAACCTTCGCCTCTTGAGTTCAAGCCATTCCCCTGCCTCAGCCCCCCAAGTAGCTGGGATTATAGGCATGCACCACCACACCTGCTTTGTGTTCAGTAGAGACAGGGTTTCACCATGTTAGTGAGGCTGGTCTCAAATCCTGACCTCAGGTGATCCACCCGCCTTGGTCTCCCAAAGCGCTGGGATTACAGGCCTGTGCCACCATGCCCAGCCAGATAGTTGCTTTTCTAATGATTGCTTCATATTGTATTTAACCACTTACCATAATGTAACATTTCCTCTGATATTAGACACTTGCTTCATTTCTGGTCCTTTGCTAATGCAAAAATGATTGAGCGAACACCTGTGTGCACATACCTTTGCATTCTGTGGGGTCCCTTTCTTTTTTTTTTTTTTTCCTTCTGGAACATGGTGCTATCCCTTTTAATATGCGGGATTCCATTTCTAACTGTCAGGTTGCTGAGTGCCAGGGCGTGCAGATCGAGGAATCAGTGGGCATCGTGGGTTACCGTGGCTGTGCCCACCCCAGGCACTCATTATCCTGCCTTCCGTTTGCCCACTTCCTAAGCCCTGCAAGAAGTGCCAAACTGTCCTGCCTCTGCCAGTCTGATAGGTGCTGCGTATCTCCTTGATTTTATCTGCATCTCCCTGAGGTTGAACATATTTTTATCTCTGTTGGCCATTTGTAGTTTTTCTATTATGCTGGTTCCATTTTTCTGATTTTAAGAGCCTTTCTTATATCAAGAAATTGAAGCCTAAAGTATATATCAGTGTTGTTTTGTCAGGTCTTGTTTTTTGTTTGTTTTGTTTTCTTGGAGATGGAGTCTTGCTCTGTCACGCAGGCTGGAGTGCAGTGGCATGAACTCAGCTCACTGCAACTTCCGCTTCCCAGGTTCAAGTAGTTCACCTGTCTCAGCCTCCCAGGTAGCTGGGATTATAGGTGCATGCCCAGCTAATTTTTGTAATTTACTAGAGACAGAGTTTGACCGTGTTGGCCAGGCTGGTCTCAAAAGCCTCACCTCGTGGTCCACCTGCCTCGGCCTCCCAAAGTGTTGGGATTACAGGCGTGAGCCATGGTGTCCAGCTTCAGTTCTCGTTTCAGAGACTTTAGTTTAATGCAAGTGTTTACCCTTTAAGGCTGTGTTTTCTGTCAGTTCTAGGCCTTCCTCTGGCATGACTTTTTAAAGAAAAACTTTATTTAAAAAAAAAAAAATTTTTTTTTTTTTAAGAGATGGGGTCTCACTATGTTGTCCCAGCTGGCCTTAAACTCCTGGCCTCAAGTGATCCACCTGCCTTGGCCTCCCAAAGTACTGGGATTATAGGCGTGAGCCACCGCGCCTGGCCCATTTTTAGAAGGGCATTGATTTTTTTCATAAAGCTTTTATATTTAGGATCTGTGTTGCATGTGGTGCTTTTTGTGAGGAGTCCAGTGTGAAGATTCAGCCTTCAGGTGGCCACTTGCACAATCTCTGTCCCATTTCCGCTGGCCTGTCCTAGGTGCGCTGACTGCCCCGTGGAGGATGCGCTGCTGAGTGGTCTGTCGGTTGCTCTGTTGATGGGCATCACCCAGTGTTTTACTATACACTTGCTGCCCCAGAGGGCCGGGCTCCTGTCAGAGACTTTTTCCACTGGCTGTGTGCAGTGGCTCATGCTTATAATCCCAGCACTTTGGGAGGCCGAGGCCAGTGGATCACCTGAGGTCAGGAGTTCAAGACCCGCCTGCCTAACATGTACTAAAAATACAAAAATTAGCCAAGCATGGTGGCACACACCTGTAATCCCAGCTACTTGGGAGACTAAGACAGGAGAATCGTTTGAACCTGGGAGGTCTAGGCTGCAGTGAGCCAAGATCGTGCCACTGTACTCCAGCCTGGGTGACAGAACAAGACCTTGTCTCCAAAAAAAAAGCTTTTTTCCAGAGCCATCCTGCTGTCCTCACATACTTATTCTCGCAGATGAACTGTTGCTTAAGCAACAGTGACGTTTAAATTGTTCTTCAGATAGAATCCACTGTGTGCCGGGCAGTTCGTTGAGCAGTCCTGTGACCCTCATGACGACCTGTCACAGTGGAAGGTAGAACACCTCCTCCACCCGTGGGATCCCCTGGAGTGAGCCACCCCTCACCTCCGCGCGCTGCAGCCCTCCCCAGCCCTGGATGCAGGCACGTGGGAGTCTTACATTGCTTCTGTGGAGCTGCTGGCTTAAGAGGGTGACTCAGAGTTCAAGCCGGAAGGCACTGGCATGTGACTCATGAGCCAGTCCAAGATCAGAGGGCTAAGGGATAAAGGTGAGAGTTCCCCTTCCCAGAAGCTTGGTCTCACAGCTGGAAGCAGAGCCGTTGACTGACTGGAAAAACCAGAGATGTCAGGCGGGAGTGGGCGGTGGCCGGCCCAGCCCCACCTCTCAGCCTCTACCTCCACCAGCCCGCGCCAAGCCTGTCTGTCTGTTCTCCTGGTTGTCTGTGCCCTAGGACTCCTGGATTTAACTTTTCTTACATTTCCTATCGCATGGGTCCTCCACTTAGGATGTAACCACACAGGCAGGCCCTTCACTGTTTCCGGTCTCAGACTGTTCTACGCACCCACACAAAGGCAGTGTTGAAATAGCAGAGAGGGCCCTGGACCCGTTTAGCCCAGCACAGCCCCTGGGCTTTCTCTCCTGGCTCCGTCCGCAGGGCCCCAGGGACCCACATGAGGTCACGCGTGCTAGTGCCGGAGTGGGGAGGCAGGGAGCCCTCGGGCACCGCAGCTCCTTAGAGCTCTCCGCCTGGGCCGGTACGAGCATGGGTCTGCTGGTGCCCGAAATGGTGTCCGTGTGTGTGGGCATGACAGCCGCGTAACAGAGGTTTCCTGACGCCCTCTGTGCTTTCCAGGTGGATCCAGGATCTGGCTTCCAACATGTGGCGGCTCTGGGCCTCACTCTGCTGCCTGCTGGCGCTGGCCAACGCCTGGCGCGGGCCCTCCTTCCATCCCCTGTCGGACGAGCTGGTCAACTATGTCAACAAACAGAACACCACGTGGCAGGTGGGCTGTGGGGCCGAGTTCTACCAGTGTCCCCTCCGAAGTTGGCCTGTGCACGCTGACTCCAGGGACAGGGAGTGGGCTCCCGTTGTGGCCACGGAACATTGTGTGCAGGACCGTGGAGGAATGGCCCTATACCCTATGTGTGTGCGTGTGTGTGCACACGCAGAGAGGTGTGGGGAGCAAGTAAGCTTGGGAAGTGTTCAAAACCAGCTAGCCCTGTGCCGCCCATCGTGGCAGAGTGGCAGTTCATCGGTCCTGCCCCTGATTCCCTTTGTTTCTGCCCAGCCCTGACCGTGGGACTGAGAAGCAAGAATGAGGAGTGAGCGTGTTGAGGGCTAGAGGGGGTCTCTGATTGTCAGCAAATGGTAGCAGATCAGGGGAGACACCTACTCTGCCCACATGTCACTCTGGGCTGTTCCCTTCTGCCCCTGGCCCGCATACCCTCAAGGTGGGTAGGGCCCCTAGCTTTCCCTGGGTTGGGCCTGGGGTATGGGCAGTGTGCCCATCTACCACCATCCCAGGAAATCCCTCAGTCGGTGGGTGACTCTCTTCCAGGCCGGGCACAACTTCTACAATGTGGACCTGAGCTACTTGAAGAAGCTGTGTGGTACCTTCCTGGGTGGCCCCAAACCACCCCAGAGGTGAGTGCCCGCTCCTCTGCACCATTGTAATGGGAGTGGCGGGCGCTGGTGTGGGGCAGTGGGAGAGTGCAGGCCTCCCTGGCATCTGCGGGGCTCATGCCGCCCAGAACGGCCAATGCCGAGGTACAGCACTTGTCTCTTTTCATTATTCTATTATTTACTTTCTCTTTTTATTTTTTCCACCTCAAGTTATTAGAAGAGAAGATGCTGTGCTTTCTTTTGTTCTTGAGAGTCTTGCGCTGTCACCCAGGCTGGAGTGCACTGGCAGCATGTCAGCTCACTGCAGCCTCTGCCTCCTGGGTTCAAGCCATCCTCATTCCTCAGCCTCGCAAGTAGCTGGGGCCACAGGCGTGCACCACCATGCCCGGCTAATATTTGTACTTTTAGTAGAGACAGGGTTTCCCCATATTGGCCAGGCTGGTCTTGAACACCTGGCCTCAACAAGCGATCTGCTCCCCTCAGCCTCCCAAAGTGCTGGAATCACAGGCATGAGCCAGTGCCCTGGCCTCCGGTGTTTCTCCTGTGCTTCTCCACGGGGTCTCAGCCCCATGCGTGACAGACTAGGCCTGGCTGTCCACTCTCTGGGCAGACTCAATCTTGAGTAAATTAAGGAGAATCTAAGAAAAAGCCAGATGACACCGGTCATGGTGGCTCACGCCTGTAATCCCAGCAGTTTGAGAGGCCAAAGCCAGTGGATCACCCAAGGTCAGGAGTTTCAAGACTAGTCGGGCCAACATGGCAAAACCCCATCTCTACTAAAAATGCAAAAATTCGCTGGCCATGGTGGCGGGTGCCTATAAATCCCAGCTACTCAGGAGGCTGAGGCTGGAGAATCGCAAGAACCCTGGAGACAGAAGTTCGAGTGAGCCAGGATCGTGCCATTTCCCTCGTGAGGACGGGGTAAAGTTGCCGGCTGCTGCCACCTACACAGTGGGGATGATATGAAAAGTGATGAGAGGGTCCTGGGCAGATGTTGAGGGAGGGGATTGGGGCAAGAAACACTATCTGGACCCTGTGGATAGACTCATTAAAAAATCCATAGGCCGGGCGTGGTGCCTCACACCTGTAATCACAGCACTTTGGGAGGCCAAGACGGGCGAATCACAAGCTCAGGAGATCATCCTGGCCAACGTGGTGAAACTAAAAATAGGAAACGTTAGATGAATATGGTGGTGTGCCCCTGTAATCCCAGCTACTCGGGAGGCTGAGGCAGGAGAATTGCTTGAACCTGGGAGGCAGAGATTGCAATGAGCTGAGACTGCATCACTGTATTCCAGCCTGGCAACAGAGCGAGACTCCGTCTCAAAAAAAGAAGAAAAAAAAAATCTGTTACATAAGGCTAGAAAGCAGCATACAAAATTGCGAGTCAGACCAGGCACAGTGGCTCGTGCCTGTAATCTCCAGCACTTTGGAAGGCCAACAAGGGCAGATCATTTGAGGTCAGGAGTTTGAGACTAGCCTGGCCAATATGGTGAAACCTTGCCTCTACTACAACTACAAAAAGTAGCCGGGCATGGTGATGGATGCCTGTAATCCCAGCTACTCAGGAGGCTGTGGTACGAGACTTGCTTGAACTCAGGAGGCGGAGGTTGCAGTGAGCAGAGATCGCGCCATTGCGCTCCAGCCTGGACGACAGAGTGAAACTGTCCCCAAAACAATAAATCTCAAGTTGCATTGAGCAACAGAATTTCCTTGTTTCATTAAATCCCTAGGGCCACCTGCCTGCAGCTTTCTCTGCCTGTCTGGTGTTCACTTCCTGTCTAGGGGAGTGTGGCCCAGCCACAGTGACTGCTCTTAAGCCACCCAGTGGCCTTTGCAGGGATCGGGGAGGCAGTTGTAGGATGAGAGCTTGTAATGACTGCCTTCCTTTATCCAGAGTTCAGTTTGCTGAGGACCTGAATCTGCCTGAAAGCTTCGATGCGCGGGAACAGTGGCCCCAGTGTCCCACCATCAAGGAGATCAGAGACCAGGGCTCCTGCGGCTCCTGCTGGGTAAGCTTCTGCCGGCTGGGGAGGGCTGGAGAGCGAGAGAGCAGCAGTGGGGAGGCATGGGGGATTCAGGGTGGGGCCCACTCTGACAAGGCAAGTTACAGAAACTTCCCCAGTCCATTTCCATCAGTGTAAAAATCACGATTGCTCTGCACATGAATTCTGGCAAGGATTAGGTGGAGCCTCCTGCAGGTTGCTAGTCCGCGTGTGTGGGGCGGCGAAGCAGCTCCCTTCCCTGACAGCTGTTCCGTCTGCAAATACCAGGTGCCCTCACTGCTACTCTGCTTCCAGAAAGCGTCCCATCAGTGTCAGCGAGCTCCCTTTTTTTTTTTTTTTTTTTTTTTTGAGACGGAGTTTCACTCATGTTACCCAGGCTGGAGTGCAATGGCGCGATCTCGGCTCACCGCAACCTCCGCCTCCTGGATTCAGGCAATTCTCCCGCCTCAGCCTCCTGAGTAGCTGGGATTACAGGCACGCACCACCATGCCCAGCTAATTTTTTTGTATTTTTGGTAGAGACGGGGTTTCACCATGTTGACCAGGATGGTCTCGATCTCTTGACCTCATGATCCACCCGCCTCGGCCTCCCAAAGTGCTGGGATTACAGGCTTGAGCCACCGCGCCCGGCCCAGCGAGCTCTCTTAATTTTGTCTTTTAATTGTGGTAAAATACATGTAACAGGAAATGTAATAATCTTAGCAATTTTTTTTTTTTTTTGAGGAGATGGAGTCTTGCCCTGTCACCCAGGCTGGAGTGCAGTGGCAGGATCTCAGCTCACTGCAACCTCTGCCTCCTGAGTTCAATTGATTCTCCTGCCTCAGCCTCCCCAGTAGCTAAGACTACAGGCATGTACCACCACACCCAGCTAATTTTTGTATTTTTAGTAGAGACGGGGTTTTGCCATGTTGGACAGGCTGGTCTCAAACTCCTGACCTCAGGTGCTCTGCCCTTCTCGGCCTCCCAAAATGTTGGGATTACAGTGTGAGCCACCGCACCTGGCATCTATTTTCAAGTGTACAGTGCTGTGGCATTAAGGACATTCACAGCGTTGCTCAGCCATCACCACCATCTGTCCCCAGAACTCTTTCTCAGCTTGCAAGACGGAAACTCTGTCCCCATTAACACTCATCCCCCAGCCCCTGGTGACCCCCACTCTACTTTCTGTCTCTACGACTTTGATTCCTAGGGACCTCATACAAGTGGATCACATAGTGTTTTCTGGGTGAGCTGTGTTTTTTTGTTGAGAAACACCACCAGGCACAGTGGCTCACCACGCCTGTAATCTCAGCACTTTGGGAGGCTGAGGGGGGCAGATCACCTGAGGTTAGTAGTTTGAGACCAGCCTGGCCAACATGGTGAAACCCCAATCTCTATTAAAAATACAAAAATTAGCTGGGTGTGGTGGCAGGTGCCTATAATCCCAGCAACTGCAGAGGCTGAGGCAGGAGAATAGCCTGAACCCAGGAGGCAGAGGCTGCAGTGAGTAGAGATCTTGCCACTGCATTCCAACCTGGTAACGAGTGAAACCTGTCTCAAAAAACAAAACACACGCACACAAACTAAGACTATGCATTTTACGAATTTCAGAAATGAACCAAGTTCCCAGGCGGAGGCTTACAGTGGTGGTTCTCTTGCTTTAAAAGCTGAGTTGGCCTGGCACAGTGATTCATCATGCCTCTAATCCCAGCACTGTGGGAAATCACTTGAGCCCAGGAGTTCAAGAGCCATTTGGCCAACATAGCAAGACCCCACTTCTACCCAAAAAAAAAAAAAAAAAAATGAGTTTGAGCCCCAGGAGCCTCCCCTGTGTTGAGGTCAGCTGCCCGGAAGGTCCGAGGTGCCCATGGGCCTTGGAGGGGACTGTTGGAGAGGGCACAGCCTGGACATGGTGGCCTCACTGGGTAGGGCTTGTTCCTCCAGGCCTTTGGGGCAGTGGAAGCCATCTCTGACCGCATCTGCATCCACACCAACGCACACGTCAGCGTGGAGGTGTCGGCGGAGGACCTGCTCACCTGCTGTGGGAGCATGTGTGGGGACGGGTGAGTCAGCTGCACTTCAAGAGTGAGTTTAGTGCTGAGACCTGGGGCGCCAGCCTTCTCGGGGGATGGTGACTTTTTGCCTGGGACTTGGGGAGACTCTGGGAGTCTGGCAGGGGCTTGGCCTGGCTGCTGCTTCCTGGGAGGTCCCTGAGCCAAGGCTGGCCTGCAGAGCTGTCTGAGGGGTGGCATCCCCAGAAAATGTGGTGCCACTTCTGACCCCTCGCCTGGTTTATGTCATGCTCATTCCTTCTTCCTGCCTGGGGAAACCTTGGGGCATTTCCTATGTGGAATTAGGAGGATCGTGCCTCAGGTGCTGGCAGCGAGCTTCCTGCTGGCTGCCCGGCTGTGGTTCTGCAGTAGTGTTCGCCCACAGCTGCAGATCAGAAATGTTTGTAGGCTTCGAAAAACGTGCCTGGGCCTCTCCCCAGCCCACTGAATTGAGAGTCACGGGCAGCAGTGGGTTTCTGTGACAGCCTCAGGGAAGCTTAGTATCTGCTGAGTTGAGAATCGCTGCATGCCCTAGAAGGGCGCTTGGAGCTGGGCCTGTCTTCCCCAGGATCATTGTGGGCAGTGGTGGGATTGGGGCGATTCCCAATCCCCCAAGCCTTGTGTTTCTAGTGAGGGTCCCCCCGGAGGGTTTGGGGTCTGGGAGGGCTGCTGCACTACTTGCTGGAGGTGGGGGCGGGTGCAGGAGTACCTTGGGCACGTGGTTTCCACGTAGTGTTCTAGCTCATGCTTCTCAGAGCTTTCATGAGAGGCTCTTTTCAGCTGTAATGGCGGCTATCCTGCTGAAGCTTGGAACTTCTGGACAAGAAAAGGCCTGGTTTCTGGTGGCCTCTATGACTCCCATGTAGGTGAGTGTGTGCCCTCGGCCCCTTTCTTACAGCTGGATTGTTCACACAGTGAATCATTGTAGCTTTATTGGCTTTCATAAAGTGGATGTTGAGACAGGGCCGGGTGAAAGGTGCGGGCAGGATCTGCCTGGTGTCTGTGCTGCAGGCACCTGGCTGGCCTTGTTCCAGGCCCGCGTGGTCTGGCGGGGCTTCGTGGTGGGGGCCATTGGCTGACTCTGCTTTCTCCGGGTCCCCCTAGGGTGCAGACCCTACTCCATCCCTCCCTGTGAACACCACGTCAACGGCTCCCGGCCCCCGTGCACGGGGGAGGGCGACACCCCCAAGTGTAGCAAGAGCTGCGAGCCTGGCTACAGCCCGACCTACAAGCAGGACAAGCACTACGGTAAGGGGCGGGCACGGCCTGGGAGCTGCTGCAGGGCAGAGAGCAGGGCCCAAGAGCCCCAGGCTGGAGACCGGCTGGGGAGGGATGCAACAGCATACTCTCCACCTTCTGCCTGTTCCGCTGTGAACTGAGCCTGAGCCCTCCCCACCTGTAAGGGACCAAAGCTGTCATTTTACAAGGGAATGGCATGTCCTGGAGTCCTGGGTACCTTGGCTTCTTCCGGGGCCTCGTGCTCACCGCTCCGTTCTCTCCCTCCTGAGCTTCCAGCCTTAGCCCCTTCCTTACTTCCTCCGGGGAGCCTGCGTTGAGCCCCCGGGCTGAGCAGGTCCCTTTCACGCACAGTCTTCCCCTGGGGGTCCCCAGAAATCAGTGACTGGCTGACTGGCGCAGTAGGAGGCACTGTCACTGCCCTCTCCAACCCCTGGCTCGGTCCATTTTCCAGGATACAATTCCTACAGCGTCTCCAACAGCGAGAGGGACATCATGGCCGAGATCTACAAAAACGGCCCTGTGGAGGGAGCCTTCTCTGTGTATTCGGACTTCCTGCTGTACAAGTCAGGTACGTGCTGGTATCTGACAGCATCAGAGGGTAGGGGTCAGGGGAGGTGCACCCAGATGCCAAGGTGGGTTCAGGTAGGCCAGTAGGACTTGATCTGGGCAGGCAGGTGAGGGGCTGGGGAGAGGACTGTGTGGGGCCTCTGGCCTGGGCCACTCTGTGGACCAGGCTGGCTCCTGACAATTCTTTGTCCACCTTCCGTGCCACTTGCCTTTCATCTGTGTCACGCACAGAGAATTCCAGAGGCATCTCGGCTAGCTCTTTCCCATCCATCCCTTAGAAGCAAGCTCACATGTCTTCTCTGTGGAGGCGTCCCCTCGCTGGCAGCTGGCCACACCTGCCCTTGCCGTCATGGCGTTCCATTCTTTCCCAGCATGTTGTCCTTACAAGGTCAGGTCTTCCTTGTCTGCACTGGGTGACAACATTTTACTCACCTGTGTCTTTGCAGAGGTGTAGATCATGTCTCACCCTAGTGCATAAACACACAGGGAGGACCTTGCCCTGGGCAGTGCCATAGGGACTCGAACCAAGGAATCTGGACAGTCTCTACCCCGAAATACTGTCTCTTGTTCCAGTAGGCCGGGCGCGGTGGCTCAAGCCTGTAATCCCAGCACTTTGGGAGGCGGAGATGGGCGGATCATGAGGTCCTGAGATCAAGATCATCCTGGCCAACATGGTGAAACCTCATCTCAACTAAAATACAAAAAATGAGCTAGGCGTGGTGGGGTGCACCTGTAGGCCCAGCTAGTCACTACTCAGGAGGCTAAGGCTGGGGAATTGCTTGAACCCAGGAGGTGGAGGTTACAGTGAGCCGAGATCAGGCCACTGCAGCCCAGCCTGGGCAACAGAGCAAGACTCCATCTCAAAAACAAATCTCTTGCTGCAGAAGCAGTCTTTGCTGTCTCGTTAATATTTTGCTAGATTGAAAACTCCAAAGCTCTCAGCTTTTATAAAACAGTTTGACAAAATGATTCTGGCAAGAAAAATATTACTGTAAAGATGGTGGTTCTTAGCACAGTCCTTGCCCATATTGTTAAAAAATGCATTTCTACTTTGACACTGATTTCCCCGCCAGGGACAGCCTGGTGGGCAGCGCTGAGCACCTTAGCTGGCATCTTTCCCGCACCTAACATTGGCTGCCACCCGCCCTCCCTTCTCTCCTCTGTCACCTCTCCAGGGTGTACCCAGAGCAGCTATTTTAAAACTTGTCGCCCAGGCTGAGGCGTAGTGGCACGATCTCAGCTCACTGCAACCTCTGCCTCAGCCTCTTGAGTAGCTGGGACTATAGGTGCGTGCCACCAGGCCCGGCTGATTTTTAGTAGACAGTGTTTCACCATGTTGGTCAGGCTGGTCTAGCCTGATCTCAGGATCCACCCGCCTCAGCCTCCCAAAGTGCTGGGATTATAGGCGTGACCCTCTGCACCCGGCCTTAAAACTCTTTAACCCATGTAACCCTTCTGACAAGCCCTTACCTTCTCCTGCCCGGAGGGTAGCCAGCTCAGTGTGAGGGGTGCTGCGGAGCATGGGGCAGTGGCTGGGTCTCACTTCTGACCGCTTCTCCCCATCTCAGGAGTATACCAGCATGTCACCGGCGAGATGATGGGTGGCCACGCCATCCGCATCCTGGGCTGGGGCGTGGAGAACGGCACGCCCTACTGGCTGGTTGGCAACTCCTGGAACACAGACTGGGGTGACAATGGTGAGTGGTGGGGAACTGGGAGCCACACACAGGGGCCATCTTGGCTTTCTCTGTTCTACCTGCTGAACTGCCTCAAACTGTGGACGTGCGGCCAGGCTGTGAGCTCCTTCTAAATGCTAGAGGCCAGGGAGGGAGGTGTCAGGAGGTGTGCCCCACAGCTGCCTCCAGAAGCTTCATGGTGTGAGGGCTGTGAAACTGAGCAAACAGCAGGAGCTGTCAGGTATTAGGGACTTACTCCCAGATTTTTTAGGGATGAGTCTGAATATACTGACCCTTGTCACATTTTAAAAGCACCTCACTTTTTATTCCCAGGCTTCTTTAAAATCCTCAGAGGACAGGATCACTGTGGAATCGAATCAGAAGTGGTGGCTGGAATTCCACGCACCGATCAGTACTGGGGAAAGATCTAATCTGCTGTGGTCCTGTCCTGGGGGAGTTTTTCCTGCACGCAGTCAGGGATGGGGATAGAAATGTCTTTTAATCTTTGAGTCCCTGTAAGATACAGGGCCTGCAGGACTGGACTGGCCAAACCTCCTATCAACCATCAGAGCTGTCTTCCAAGGAGACTCATCCACGTTCTGGCTACCTCTGAGCCTGTTCAGTGGACTGATGGCTGCAGTGTAGACAGTTAGGCCACGTGAGCCACTGCTGCCAGCACGGAGCTCCTTTCCCCATGCCTAGTGCTATAGGGAGTACCTGCTGCCCCATCCCTGATCCATCCATCTCTGGGAGCAAGACAGAGAGGCCCAGGAATGGAAAGCAGAGTTCCTCGCAGGATTCAAGGTCCCCCATCAGCAGTACCTCTAAGCAAGGAGCTTTCTACATTTGCTACAAGATCAGAGGACAGATGGTACTGGGAGCCCTTTGGAGAACGCCACATTCTCCTAGGGCCCCTGCCTCTGTCGGGCTTTGCAGTGTCAGAAACTCTGATCTTGTCCTCAGCATGATTCTTTTTGAATAGAAGTTTTATTTTTTGTGCGCTCTGCTAATCCTGTGGATGAAGGGGTTGGACAGTGGGAGACCTGTGCTCGTTTACAGATGGCCTCCTCATGGCATGGCTCAAAACGAAACCTAGTAGCTGTAACTGGTTTCCCACCATGAAACTAGTGTAGGAGAAAGCAGATTTTACTGTTTTTCAAAAATCCCTGCTTCACCCTATCAAGTTAAGGAATGCCTGTGCCAATAAAAGGTCTGTCCTTCAACTCAGTCAGCTCTGATGGAATCTCAGAGGTCATTTGTCACTGCCTGTACACTTGTAGCTGCTATCCTCAGCCCTGCAGAGAATCACGCCCTGGGACTGCATGCCCTCAGGACTCTTGGGACCTCATCTTAACTTCCCACTGCCCCGCCATGTTTTCCACCACAGCATCCCCATCAACCGTCTCTGTAAGTCCTTGATGAGTTTGCCCTTGCTTAAGAACTAACTGTAGAGCAGTGCTTTTTTGAGACAGAATCTTACTTTGTCATCGAGGTTGGAGTACAGTGGTGCTATTTCAGCTCACTGCAACCTGCACCTCCTAGGTTCTAGCTATTCTCCTGCTTCAGCCTCCCAAGTAGCTGGGATTAGAGGCACCCACCACCACGCCGAGCTAATTTTTATATTTTTAAGTATATACAAGGTTTGACCATGTTGGCCAGGCCAGTTTCAAACTCCTGACCTCAAGCTAATCCACCCACCTCGGCCTCCCAAAGTGCTGGGATTACAGGGTGAACCACCGTGCCTCGCCTCTATTAGCCACAAATCCATCAGTGACCTGAGAATTCTCATGAAACAGGCCTGGTTTCCTAGTGATCTCGCATAACCAAGATGCCATCCCGTGGAGAGCCACATCCCCCCGGATGCCCTCAAGTCAGCCTGTACAAAGTATTTTGAATCTGTATGCCACTGGTTTGCATTGCTGGTCAAGAAGTCTCGTGCTCTGCATAGGCCTGGTTTAGAATCGTGTTACACCAGTTCTTGCAAGAGTAGAGGAATCTAGAAGAACCAGCAATCACTGTACTGTCCTGTCAAGATACACCTCAGTATTACCCTTCCCAACTGAGGCTGGGTGGGGCTAGCTCTCTCCAAAAGCACTGAAGTTTAGCTTCTGATGTGACTCAGAAGTTAGGATTCAGAAGCTACATCTAATAAGCTCTGAAACTCTGAAAAACATTGCAGGAAACGGTTGTGATGCCCATCATGGCACTTGAGAGATGCCTAACGGGTTACCAAAGCCGCAGACGCATAACCACTTATTCTTCAAGTTTCACCTAGAACATATTCATAACCTCAATAAAGTTCTACCTGCTCCCAAACTGGGTTGAATCATTCCACTCACACCGTCTCCCTCACCTCCATCGAATATGCACCTGCAACTCCATCCCCTGCCTCCAGCCAGTGAACGCACAGAATGAACTGTGGGGCATCTCAACATCAGCTCAGGGCTGTCAGAAAAACCTGCCTTGTACTGGGACAGAGCTCAGTGCTTCAGTACACCTCGGATTACCCCAGTGACATGACAGGTAGAGGTGACAATGCCTTTTCAGTCTTTACCCAGAGAAAGGCTTCTTTGACACACTCCAGAATGGAAACTGAAGTACAGATAGGCAATCCAAGTCTCACTGTCACCCAGGCTGGAGTGCAGTGGCGCACTTTTCGCTCACTGCAACCTCCGCCTCCTGAGATCAAGCAATCCTCCTGCATAGCTGAGATTACAGGCACTTCCCACCACACCTGGCTAAATTTTGTATTTTTAGTAGAGACGGGGTTTTGCCATGTTGGCCAGGCTGGTCTTGAATTCCTGACTTAAAGTGATTCACCTGCCTCTGCCTCCTAAAGTCCTAGGATTACAGGCATGAGCCACTGTGCCTGGCCACTACTCTTTGAGGAAAACAGTAATTTGCCCCTCTTGAAACGTGCCTGAGAGAGCTATACTCAAGTGGTCCACGGAGCAGGATCATGGCCATCATATGAGAGCCTATTAGAAATGCTGAGCATGGGCCGGGACCAGTGGCCCATGCCTGTATATAATCCTAGCACTCTGGGAGGCAGAGGCAGGTGGATCACCTGAGGTCAGGAATTGGAGACCAGCCTGGCCAACATGGTGAAAACCCATCTCTACTAAACACAAAAAAAAATTAGCCAGGCATGGTGGCCCGTGCCCATAATCCCAGCTACTCAGGAGGCTGAGGAAGCAGAATCGCTTGAACCTGGGAGGTGGAGGCTGCAGTGAGCTGAGTTCACACAACTGCACTCCAGCCTGCATGATGGGAGTGAGACTCAGTCTCAAACAAAAAAATGCTGAGTATGAGAAGGCTAGACCTCTGAACCAGCATTTGCATCTCCCAGGACCCCAGGTAATTCCTAAGTACATTCAAGCTCAGAACCCCTTTCTAACTGCTCCCTGATTAGGAGGCTGTCAGAGATTTTAGGAATCCAAGCTCTTGGTCACCTTGCCAGACCTACTCTGTCCAAGTCTGGTCCCAGCAATCGGGCAATTCTGATATAAAACCTGAGAACCACAGCCTTAGAACTGCTTCTGAACTGCTAACAGCAACCGAGAATGCTTGTTACATGCCTGACTTGCCACCTTCCTCCTATACATACCCTTGAGCCCCTGGGAAATGGCGCATAGGTGGAAGAAGGGCACTTCCTCGTACTTACCCACAGGGATCCAGGAGTTCCCATATGCAGACGTCGAGCTCATACTCCCAACCGATGTAATTGTTTATGCTCCTAGATTCAGATGAGTCAGGCTCCTCAAAATATTCCATTAGGTAGGATCCAAACAGACTGTGTGCCAGACGTACTATAAAATGATACTAGAAGTGGGAGTAGAGGGTAGGGTTGCTAGATTTAGTAAACAGAAATACAAGATGCCCAATCACTTTTGAATTTTCAGATATGCAAGGGATTTGGAGGTTTTTTTTTTTGTTTGTTTGTTTGTTTTTTTTGATACAGAGTCATTCTTGTCATCTAGGCTGGAGTGCAGTGGCATGATCTTGGCTCACTGCAACCTCTACCTCAAGGGTTCAAGCGATTCTCATGCCTTAGCCTCCCAAGTAGCTGGGGCTACAGTCATGTGCCAAACCCAGCTAGTTTCTATATTTCTCATAAAGATGGGGTTTCACCATGTTGATCAGGGTGGTCTCGAACTCTTGACTTCAGGCGATCCACCCTGCTCGGCATCATAAAGGGCTGGGATTACAGGCGTGAGTCACAGTGCCCAGCCATGCAAGCAATTTTTTTAGTCTAAATATGTCACGTGCAATATTTGGAGTATAATTCTAAAAAATAAGATTTTTCTGGGTGCAGTGGCTCACCTGTAATCCCAGTACTTTGGGAGGCCAAGGTGGGCAGATCACCTGAGGTCAGGAGTTTGAGACCAGCCTGACCAGCATGGCAAAACTCCATCTCTACTAAAAAGACAAAAATTAGCCGGGCATGGCAGCATGTGCCTGTAATCCCAGCTACTCTGGAGGCTGAGGCAGGAGAATCACTTGAACCTGGGAGACAGAGGTTGCAGTGAGCTGAGACTGCACCCCTGCACAGTAGCCTGGGCAACAGACTACAACAAGAGACTCTGTCTTGGAAAAATGTTTATCTGAAATTCAAGTTTAACTGAGCATCCTGTGTTTTTTTCTTTTATAATGATAGTTGACATTTTATTTTTATACTGAGACAGGGTCTGTTGTCCAGGCTGGCGTGCAGTGGCACAAACACAGCTCACTGCAGCCTCAACCTCCTGGGCTCAAATGATCCTCCTGCCTCAGCCCCCCCACACCCTCCAAGTAGCTGGGACCACAGGTGTAAGGCAACATGCCCAGCATCCCGTATTCTATCTGGAAACCTTAGTAGAGACGATACTTAAAAGGAAGACAAGCTTTCAAAGAGCTTCAGAATGGAATGAGAGCAAATACCTTTTACATGTCAGTGATAGCAGAAAACGTACCTAGCTTTATAGATAGAAGAAACCTGAGATCACCCAAACCACACAGCTCAGGAAGTGGTGGCACAGGTAATGACCAAGGAGTCAGGAGCGAAGCTTCCCACAGGCCCCACTCAGACCAAAGCCCTTTCCAGCAGGTTGTCTTACGTGAACCTTGGCAGAATTCAATCTTAGATTTCAACACACAGATTTGTAACAACCTACCTTGAAATCTCGAACCAAGTTTTGAGGCTCGAATTTCTCGGAAAATACTATTAAGTCTAGCTCAACTGTCCCAACCTTTTCGGCCCAGGGACAGGTTTCATAAAGAATTTTCCCACGACGGAAGGGAATGGTTTTGGGATGAAACTGCCACTCAGGTCGTCAGGCATTAGATTCTCGTAAGGAACATGCAACTTAGATCCCTCAGTGCGCAGTCGCACGTATGAGAATTAACGCCAAGTGGAGCTCAGGTAGTCGTGTTCACTCACCTGCCGCTTACCTCCTGCCACGATGCCCAGTTCCTGACAGGCCACGGAACAGTAGGATTAGTACCCGTCCTAGGCCTGGGGATCAGGGACCCCTGGTCTGGCTGTATTCCACGTGGCAAGTTATCTTGGCTGGTAACAGGTATGTCCAGGGCGAAGCCTCAGATGAACCAATTAACTGAAGTCTCCCTGGGCCCAAACTAATTTTGCTATCAGTGGTCATAGGAAGAAAGTGTGTTTACAACAATGCAAATCTAACGTTACAAATGGGATGATTAAGCCAGCATCCACGACAGGCTGCAGAAGAGCCGACTATATACTACGAACACCTGTAGCATTAATGGCTTCTAGAAAGTACTGAATGCCATAGTGCACTGATTCTCAACCCGAAGGTCCACAGCCTTCCTTTCCACGCTGAGCATCTCAGTGACAGCACATCGCAGGCTCTGCCACACTGGGGTAGAGGGGAAGATCAAACTCCAAGCAGCAGAGAAGTACCATTCTGCTCCCAAGACAATCACCTGAAGACAGCTTTTGCCTGTCTTAAGACTTGAATACTTTTAAAAAAGAAAAGCTGCTGTGGGGGACATAAACCTTAAAGTTTCTTTTGAAATACAGTCTCCCGCTGTCATCCAGCGTGGAGTGCAATGGCATGATCTTGGCTCACTGCAACCTCCACCTCCCAGAATCAAGCAATTCCCCTGCCTCAGCCCCCTGAGTAGCTGGGATTACAGGCATGTCCCACCATGCCCAGCTAATTTTTGTACTTTTAGTAGAGACAGGGTTTCACCATGTTAGCCAGGCTGGTCTCAAACTCCTGGCCTCAAATGATCCACCTGCCTTGGTCTCCGAAAGTGCTGGGATTATAGGCGTGAGCCACCGCACCCACCTAATTTTTGTATTTTTTCAGCAGAGATGAGGTTTCGCCGTGTTGGCCAGGCTGCTCTCGAACTGCTGACCTCAAGTGATCTGCCTGCCTCAGGCTCCCAAAGTGCTGGGATTACATGCATGAGCCACCATGCTGGGCCACCAACTCCATTCTTGAGCTCCATCTTTCCCACAGGCAGGCAGGCAGGCTTTCAAGTGAACTGGACTTGACAAATGCAGAGCAATTACATTCTTTATTATACAAATCTCAAAAATGTCCACCTTTGCTGGAGGCCAATCTTGTAAAATGGGGTCAAAGGCAATCCTGCTGTTTTTCTCTGAAAGCTAAACTCTCTTTGAGTGAAAAAATCATACTAGAACACCCAGAATTTTATTCCCAGGCTTCGTAATGCAAAAGGCAGTTGGCCTCCTTAGGAAACATGAAAGTATTACCCAAACCACAAATATTTCTATCAACTCCATTCAATCCAATGAAAGAAAACAAAATGATAAAAATAGGAACTGAACAGAAAGAAAATTCATTTTCTACTACGATTACCATTCAAAGGTTGCTTCAAATTACTTTTAATTATCGTTCTAGCCAGGATCACACTAAATAAGACCTCGTGACAGGCCCATATGCAGCCACTTCAACTAAAGCGTGGTGCAGAATGCGCTGCCACGAGCCACAGGCAGCACAGCCATCACCTCCCCCAAGCACAGGTCGCTGCGGTGAGCCGCCCTTTCCTTTTCCTTTTGTGTTTATATTCTTCTCAACTGCATTTCAGTTTCCTAAAGGTCCCAGCCACACAAGAGTTCTTTGAGGGATTAAAGTAGGAGGAAAAAAAATAGAAGCCAACATCCATCCTCGAAGAAAAAAAGTAAATCCATTTCATGGTGAACTTCAGCTTCCTGACAAATTTGAGATCAGTGTTCTCCAGTCTGAACATAGTCTTCCGTGACCTGGGAGAGTGTGGTCAGGTACTGCCAGCTCAGGGCGGCCAAGAGCATGACAAAGGACAGATAGATGGGGGAGTAGTGGCTTCGGGAGATCAGCTGACAGTTGGGAAGATTCTGCGTCCGGATGGTGGAGATGATCTGCCTCGTTTTACTGGAAGATGGGTCTGAGTCAGGGATTCTATGGTAAATCTGTCGAACGTACAGGAAAATACGGTAAGTGCTGTGTGCTTTACATTTTCCATGGCTACTTACAACAACCCTCCACTGGGAGGTATTTTATGCCCATTTTACCAACGAGGAAAGGGAGGCTCAGAAAGTAACTTTCCCAAAGCCACCCCAATGGGAAGACGGGGATGTCAGCCCCAGCCTGCTCATCGCAAAACCCGTCTTCTTCCTGAGCAAGCGGGAGGCAGAGGCACGTATGCTGCACCCCAGAGGCCCTTGAAAGCGGTGGCCAGACCACACTTATCTTCACATCCCAGCACCCCACAGTGCCAGGCCCAATACACATCAGCATAGTTCGCGTACAGATCACGAAGAAAGCGAAAGATTGGGCAAAAGCGGCTTAGAAACAAGATGGAACGCGCAGTACAGGCCACAGCCCGACGAAGGAAGGCAGGCACAGAAGCAGGGGCCTATGAACCACCCTGGAGTCCTGCCTGTGCCTCCCCCACACCTCCACAAGCCTCCGAAGCATGTGCAGAATCCATCTCTTCCCCTGCATCCCTGGAATGAGTGCCTGAGGTCAGGCCCTCAGTGCCCATCAGCTGAGCTACCTCAATCTTCAAAGTGAGTTTGAGTCTAAGCTTGAACCCTCGAATCCACATGTCCTCCACACTGTCCCCAAGGAGACCTCAAACCTCTCCCTCATGCCTCAGTGGCGCCAGCCCTACCTCTGGCAGAATAAAGCCTGAGCTCTGTCATGTGCAGTGCAAGGCCACCTGTGGTCCAGGCACACTGCACCCATCTAGTGTCACCAGCCCTTACCCACCTCCCTCTCTTCAGTCTAGTAACAATTGCCAGGCCAGGCGTGGTGGCTCATGCCTTGGAATCCCAGCACTTCGGGGGTGCCGAGGTAGGTAGACTGCTTGAGCTCTGGAGTTCAAGACCAGCCTGTGCAACACAGTGAAACCGTTTCTACAAAATAAAGAAAACTTAGCCGGGCATCCTGGCATGTACCTGTGGTCCCAGCTACTTGGGGACTGGGGTGGGAGGACCACATGGGCCAGGGAGGTGGAGGTTGCAGTGAGGCGAGATCATGCCACTGCACTCCAGCCTGAGTGATAGAACAAGACCCTGTCTCAAAAAACAAACACAAAAGCACAGCCATCTGCTGTTGTCTCACCCGTGCAACGCTCCTCACACTTCTGTCCTTCCTCACACCACTCCTCTCTGGAGTCTGTCGCCCACGTCCCTTCAGCTGGCTCTTACCTAAGCCCCCAAGTCTCAACTTCAGGATTACGCCTTCTACAAAACCTGTGTGCACCTCCAGGTTCAGCCAGGAGCAACCCGCTTGAATGTATCTGTCCCGTTCCACTTACGTGGAAGTGGCCGTCTGTAGCCGACACCCTGACTACACCGCACCCACCCATTCACCTTTCATCCCAGCCTCGCCCTGTGCCTGGCACACAGCAAGCCCGCGATCATACTATGTTTACTGAATGGAACTGACAGGCCAGGTAGCAGGTTACTGTGGTGGGAAGGGACGATGATCTGAGCCATGACTGAGACAAAGAGCGGGGAGAGGACAGAGCAGAACAGAACAGGCATTTTTAAAACACATTTTTTGCCCCCAATTTTTATGATATAATGGATATTCCCCCACTCCAAACACGTCTTCTATTTTTGCCACCCTCTCCCTCAAAACACACAGTGGAAATTTAAAACAAGAAAGTAAAAGAGCATGCCTATAGGGATATGCTAAGGCTACCTAATATCTACAATTATGCTACGAAGGACAGCGAGACCGAGAAAATTGGAGGTGGGGAATCAAAAAACAATTTCTTCTTTAATTTCTTTGGAAAAATCCAATTCTGCCTGTAAAAGCAATACAAACATAAATTTAAAAAAGTCGGGGGGAGATCCAAGATGGCCGTTTAGGAACAGCTCAGGATTGCAGCTCCCAGTGAAAGCGCAGAGGGTGAGTGGACGCCGCGTTTTTATTGCCCACAGACTAGGAAATTCCCGGGCAGAGGTGCTCCACGCTCGCCAGGGCGGCTGTTGTGGCCAGCGCGGCTGTGCCGGCCGGGGCCGCTGCTCTGCCCCGCGCGGCTGCTTTGTCGGCGCCCTGGAGCCGCGGTTCTCCGTACAAAATACACCGGTCCGGGGGCCCTTTTGGTTGGCGATTGGAGCCACGGGAAGTCGCCCACATGCTGGTTCAAAAAGGGAACTGAGCAGAGAACCAGGACAGTAGATTCCAGGGCAAAAAAAAAAAAAAAGAAAAAAATGCGCCACAAACCTCAGTGCCGCTGTTTAAGCCAGCGCAGTGAGTGGCCGCAGGGGAAAACAGACAGACCCCGGCGCCTCTTCAACAGGCGACTGGAACACCAACTTAAAAAAGGCTCTGAGGCAGGGAGCCAGGCGATCAGGCTCGGCTGACCCCACCCCCACAAAAGAACAGCAACCAGAAACTCTGGATTGAGAATTTCACAGCAAGCGCAGCTGAACCCGGGACAGTCCAGCTCTGTGGGGGAGGGGCGTCCGCCATTACCGAGGCAGCCCGCCGTTGCCAAGGCAACCCGCCATTGCTGAGGCAGCCCGCCGTTGCCAAGGCAACACGCCACAGCAGAGACTCCGCCCCAACAGAGGCGGGCCACCATCGCCAAAGCAGTTCTAACTACACCCATAAAAACAGGACTGCAGGGAAGTTCACTCGGCAGCGGGGCGCAGCCCACAGCAGCTCAGCAAAGCTGCTATAGGCCGACAGTGACTAGGCTGCCTCCTTGCTGGGCTGGGCAGGTCTGAAGGAGAAAAAAAAAAAAAAAAGGCGGCGGCAGCATAACGGAAACTCATAAATAAAGCCCTAAATCCCTGGGACAGAGCACCTGGGAACAAAAAGCAGTTTATGAGTTCTGCTGCAGCAGACCTAAAAGTACCTGCCCAGCAGCTCTGAATGAACAACAACAGAGCTCACAGCTCACCATTTGAGCTCCTATAAAGAAAAGACCTTCTCCTCAAGCAGCTCCCTGACCCCTATATATCCAAAAAGACACCTCATAAAAGAGAGATCAGATTGACACTAGGCGGGTATCCTTCTGGGACAAAGATAGAAGAAGAAGAAAACTGGTAACAACCCTTGCTGTTCAACAGCTGCTGCAGGTGAACCCCAGGCAAGCAGGGCCTGGAGTGAACCTCAGCAGACATACAGCAGAGGGGCCAGACTGTCAGAAGGAAAACCAAGAAGCAGAAATAACCTCATCATCAACAAACAGAACATCAATCTGAAAGATTTGAGACCCAATCTGAAAGCCAGCAACTACAAAGTCGACAGGTGGATAAATCCTTAAGGATGGGAAGAAACCGGCGCAAAAAGGATGAAAACACCCAAAACCAGAACACCTCTCCTCCTAAAAGGGATCACAACTCCTCGCCAGCAAGGGAACAAGGTTGGATGGAGAATGAGTGTGATGAAATGACAGAATCAAAATTCAGAAGATGGGTAGTAAGAAACTTCTGTGAACTTAAAGAACATGTTCTAACCAAATGCAAAGAAACTAAGAACCTTGAAAAAAGATTTGACGAAATGCTAACAAGAATGGACAAAATAGAAAGGAATATAAGTGAATTGATGGAGCTGAAAACTGCAACACGAGAACTTCGTGAAGCATGCACAAGTATCAACAGCCGAATTGACCAAGCAGAAGAAAGGATATCAGAGGTCGAAGATCAACTCAATGAAATAAAACGGGAAGGCAAGACTGGAGAAAAAAGGGTAAAAAGGAATGAACAAAGTCTCCAAGAAATGTGGGACTATGTGAAAAGACCTAATCTACGTTTGATAGGCGTACCCGAATGCGACGAAGAGAATGAATCCAAGCTGGAAAATACTCTGCAGGATATTATCCAGGAAAACTTCCCCAACCTAGCAAGGCAGGCAAAAATTCAAGTCCAGGAAATACAGAGAACACCACAAAGATATTCGTCAAGAAGAGCAACCCCAAGGCACATAATCGTCAGATTCACCAGGGTCGAAATGAAGGAGAAAATACTAAGGGCAGCCAGAGAGAAAGGTCGGGTTACCCACAAAGGGAAGCCCATCAGACTCGCAGCAGATCTCTCAGCAGAAACCCTACAAGCCAGAAGAGAATGGGGGCCAATATTCAACATCCTTAAAGAAAAGAACTTTCAACCCAGAATCTCCTATCCAGCCAAACTAAGCTTCATAAGTGAAGGAAAAATAAAATCCTTTGGGAACATGCAAGTACTCAGAGACTTCGTCACCACCAGGCCAGCTCTACAAGAGCTCCTGAAAGAGGCTCTACACATATAAAGGAACAACAAGTACCAGCTCAACTAAAGGGCAAAACAGCCAGCTAGCACCAAAATGGCAGTATCAAATTCACACATAACAATATTAACCCTAAATGTAAATGGACTAAATGCCCCAATCAAAAGACACAGACTGACAAATTGGATAAAAAGACAAAACCCATCGGTGTGCTGTATCCAGGAAACCCATCTCACATGCAAGGATACACAAAGGCTCAAAATAAAGGGATGGAGGAAGATTTACCAAGCAAATGGAGAGCAAAAAAAAGCAGGAGTTGCAATTCTCATCTCTGATAAATTAGACTTTAAAGCAACAAAGATCATAAGAGACAAAGAGGGACATTACATAATGGTAAAAGGATCAATGCAACAAGAAGAGCTAACGATCCTAAATATATACGCACCCAATACAGGAGCACCCAGATACATAAGGCAAGTTCTTAATGACTTACAAAGGGACTTAGACTCCCACACAATAATAGTGGGAGACTTTAACACCCCATTGTCAACATTAGACAGATCAACCAGACAGAAAATTAACAAGGATATCCAGGACTTGAACTCAGACCTGGACCAAGCAAACCTAATAGACATTTACAGAACTCTCCACCCAAAATCCACAGAATATACATTCTTCTCAGCACCACATCACACCTACTCTAAAATTGACCACATAATTGGGAGTAAATCACTCCTCAGCAAATGCAAAAGAACGGAAATCGTAACAAACAGTCTCTCAGACCACAGTGCAATCAAGTTAGAACTCAGAATTCAAAAACTACCTCAGAACCGCACAGCTTCATGGAAACTGAACAACTTGCTCTTGAATGTTGACTGGATAAACAATGAAATGAAGGCAGAAATAAAGATGTTCTTCGAAACCAACGAGAATGAAGACACAACATACCAAAATCTCTGGGACACATTTAAAGCAGTATCTAGAGGAAAATATATAGCAATAAGTGCCCACATGAGAAGCAAGGAGAGATCAAAAATTGACGCCCTATCGTCAAAACTGAAAGAGCTAGAGGAGCAAGATCAAAAAAACTCAAAGTCTAGCAGAAGACAAGAAATAGCTAAGATCAGAGCAGAACTGAAGGAGATAGAGACACAAAAAACCCTTCAAAAAATCAATAAATCCAGGAGCTGGTTTTTTGAAAAGATCAACAAAATAGACAGACCACTAGCCAGATTAATAAAAAAGAAAAG